AGACTCCAGCCACCCAAATTCAAGTCCTCCCAAGGAAGTGGCCTACTTACCTACTAGGTAAATATATTTTTTTACTACCGTTTTGAAATTTAACCGAATAAATATTATTGAAAAAAGAATGTTATTCAAAATGTCGTTTTTATGGCAGGTACCTATAATTTATAGATATACAGTTTTTTAATAGGTGTTATAGAATACAGACGAAAATGGGGAGATAAATGGAAAATTATGTTAAACCCTCATAAGAGCACTGCGGTACTCTTCTCCAACCGACGCCCGAAAACTCCTGGTAACTTAAATTTGTGTGGTAATAATATTCCTTGGTCACCTAAAATAAAATACCTAGGTGTAGTTCTGGACAGAAAATTAACTTGGAATCCACATATCACCTCCAAACTACAACAAGGATATAACCAGAGGCTAAAAATACTATACCCATTGATCAACCGACAAACTGCTTTAAGCTGGAGATGTTCTCTTTTATTATATAAACAAATTCTACGACCGTTACTTCTATACGCAGTCCCTGTGTGGGGAAATTGTGCAAAAACCCACATCCACAAAATACAAGTTTTCCAATCAAAAGTTTTGAGAACCATTTCTAATGCTCCATGGTTTGTACGAAATGATGCACTTCACAAAGATTTTCAGCTACCCACAATAACAGAGTACATAAAAAAATTAACTATCAACTTCTTCGATCACATCAATTATGCTCATAGTGCGAAATTTTATAAGCTAAGTGACCCACCTTCTGTACGCCGACTCAAGCGTGGACGCCCACACGACCTATTGTTATAACTATTATTTATTAATATATTATTATTTTTGTTTTTATTTTTTTTTTTTTCTTCCGTTTTGTAAATATTTAAAACGTAGTCGATAGTTTCTATTTTTACTAATAATTTTTCTAATTATTACTAATTGTTATATTTTTTCCAAATGTTAAAAAAAAAAATGTATCTAATCAACACTAAGTTAAGATGACATATGTCAGTAAAACTTTATTTAATAAAAAAGTAAAAAAAAAAAAAGAATACAGACGATAAGAATTGTTATTTTTTCTACAGAAAATGCTCTGAACATGAAATTTGATAAGGGAACTATATATATGACTCAGCTTGCAACTAGGTATGTGTAATATTTTACCATACATATTAATATATTATGTTTGTCAGGTTCTCCGTTTCCTTGGCATATTTAAAAGTATTGAATGTAAATTATGTACCTAATATATTTATACAAGTATGTTATATGTAAATAATAAATTGTATTATATTTTGGATAACCATAGTCGGGACCAGGGAATTCTGGTTGCTACTGGGCTATGCCCAAGTTTATCTAAATTCAATATTATCAATATTTTTAAAAATTGGGCTTTTCACCTATGATAGTACCTAGTACTATAGTGGTGTACGATTATATCAATTAATCGTTTTTTGTTGATAATTTAATCGATTAATCGTTTATTTTTAAAAATTATAGATAATCGATTAATCGTTAAAATAAACGGTTAATTGGTCTGTTGTGGGTAGTTTGTTATTGATTGTTAAAATATATGATAATATTTCGACTTACGAATAATCAATTACATTAATACCAAAAAATGAATCGATTAATCGATTATGAACATAATTAAATTATAAACAACAATCGATTATTTTTTTTATAGTATACAGTGTGTTTCCTTTTAAAGGTAACACTAAATAATTCTGTCCAGTGACATCGGATTAATATGCGGTTTTCAGGAGGGGATAGGGAATACATAAATACACATTTCTTAATGATTTTTACATTTTTAGATCTTTCCTTGTGCGCATGCGCAATACAACTTGCATTTTTTTAAACGGCAACAGGTGTTTTGAATACCAAATTCGGATAGACCGAATTTTTTTAAGTCGATTTGGTCCTTTTTACCATAGCTCTAAAATCAAAATTGACTAAATGGCAACCAGTCAAAGTTTCGATTAAAATTATTGAATTTTTCACCAATCATACTAGAATTTTATGAATTATTATGAAATTGTATTTATTATTTTTGTATCCGTAGGTTTGCAGATATTATTAAATCATTTAAATTTAATTTTGAGGAATTAATTAACCTCAATTAGACGTAAATGTTAGTTCAATTACTAAGTAAGAAAATATTAAACTAATTAACACAATTTTTTTACAATTTCAATCATTTCTATTATTTATTTGGATAGATTTACGTTGTGAGGTTAATTAATTCCTCAAAATTAAATTTAAATGATTTAATAATATCTGAAAACCTACGGATACAAAAATAATAAATAAAATTTCATAATAATTCATAAAATTCTAGTATGATTATTGGTGAAAAATTCAATAATTTTAATCGAAACTTTGACTGGTTGCCATTTAGTCAATTTTGATTTTAGAGCTATGGTAAAAAGGACCAAATCGACTTAAAAAAATTCGGTCTATCCGAATTTGGTATTCAAAACACCTGTTGCCATTTAAAAAAAAATGCAAGTTGTATTGCGCATGCGCACACGGAAAGATCTAAAAATGTAAAAATCATTAAGAAATGTGTATTTATGTATTCCCTATCCCCTCCTGAAAACCGCATATTAATCCGATGTCACTGGACAGAATTATTTAGTGTTACCTTTAAAAGGAAACATACTGTATAGTCCAGCGATTCTTAAACTGTGGTCCGGGGCCCCCTAGGGGTCCGCGACACTATAAATGATTTCAGCTGTGGACAGCATGTGTGTTTAATAAGTTTTAATTCCGTTCCCCACAACTTATTTATGTGAAAACGCCTTTTCCTCTCTTGTATATGTCAAAAACAAGTTTCACAATCGTTTGGAAAACGTAGAGTCCGAACTTCGATTAAAACTTTCAAATATTGAGCCTAAAATAGAAAAATTAATGTCAGAAATGCAATATCATCCTTCACATTAAGTATACCTATAATAATTTTAAATTATAAGATTAATTTCAAATATCTTAAAAGTAAAACAATAATTAATTTTCTATGTAAGACAAAATGTTAATGTAATAATATTAAATATTATAACAAAAATAATTAACAAAATATTTTTTATACTTATTATATTTTTATTGACCTTTCTTTTAAATATATTGGTAATTGTAACATGAAATATTTTTTAATAAAAAATGGTAATTCCTAACAAAATTAATAAGGTGGTCGGCGATTTAAAAATGTCCTTCATCAGGGGTCCGCGTAATAAAAAGTTTAAGAACCGCTGGTATATACTATAATTCATGTTCTTCAAAACCGTTTCAAATAACACCTATAGAAGTCTAGGAATGCAAACAAACAAATACTTACCTGTTAAAACATAAACCTGATGTTCTGGCATCCATCTCCTGTAGTAAATTCATTATAAAGTTCGACCATAATATATAATATATTTTGTCTACCTAGGTTTTATGGCAATATACATATCATTTCGAGCTAAGTATACTCGAATTTTACATACCTTTATGGCTTTATATAATAATGTAATCTCAATAAATTTTAACCATATCACCCAATAACAATTTACAGGGACTAAAGTGTTATAATTTAATATTTCTAGAACTAATTATTCTAAAAATTGGTTACCCTAGCCCTTAGATCATATACAAGGGCCATATATTGTATATGATCTAAGCCCTAGCCTAAGTTAAATCATTTGTTGTGTGAATTGGCAGAGACAACAAATTTGATGGTAGTGAATATAATGGCGGGGACCTGAGCGATTCGGCCAATGACACACATTAACCAGGCATGTAAGATTCATATAGTAAACTATTTTTCTACTTATAGCCAACTGTCAACATACTACATACCTATACATAATAATCTTTTAATTATATTTATATAATCTGAACTATAATTTAGTTTACTGAGCTGACCAAAATTAAAGAATATATAGCTATAATATAAATGTACAAAGTTGTATAAATAACTTAAGACCCCTGCAAATGTGTCATTTTTAAGGAGTTAAAGGATTTTTAAAGGAGCAATACTATTTCGTTCCTGCGATTACTGATCATCTTTGGGTGTGTAGTAAATGATCATTAGTGTGTGTTTACTCCCCTACCATCAGCCGCGACACGCATCAATTTACAATACATTGTTTTTTCTTATCTGGTTTATGGTCTCAAGCACTCACATGCACAAGTCATTTAATGTCTAGATCAAAATATTCAAAACCAATTTATGGACGTAAAATAGATGTCGCACTGACAAAAATTAAGATACTTCTAGTGTTTCGATTTAAAAAATGTAAAGATGTCAATATTGGTAAACAAGTTTAATTTGCATCGGTCGGAGCACTTTTTCAATTTTAGCAAATTCTTGACGAGAATAAATATTTTACATTTTATAAATTTATAAATTTTTAGTTTTGAATATATTCAAAAATATCTAAAATATAAAAAATATGCTCCGACCGATGCAAAGTAGACTTGTTGACCAATTAAGACATCTTTACATTTTTTAAATTGAACCACTAGAAGTACTTTCATTTTTGTCAGTGGCTAAGGTCGTTTCGTTGAACAATTAATAGGGTTGGCAGGGGCCTCAAAACAAAAAAAAAATCCACTACTTTACTCAATTATTTTTATCTTTTAATAAAAAAAAATATAATTTTGCCATATCTTTTACGTATAGTTACTAAAAATATGATATACAATTTAAACAAACAATACATTACATTTTATTTATTTTAAAAATATATTTAAATTAGTTTTAATATTCATTCATAGTAAAATACTAAAATAAAATATAGTAAATATATTATCCTATATTATCTAAAATACATAATAAATAATAAATATAATTATGAATAATTTAGGTTATTTATATAACATAAATAGATACATATTTAATAAAAATACATATGTATTCGGGAATTTGAGTAGTAGCTTATACTTAAAAGTTAAAATGTATACATAATAAATCAATTAATTAAAAATAAATTATCACCAATATCATACAATATAAAAAAAATAGTATACCTTTAGTTTTGCTTGGTTTGCTCATTGTGTGCAATGGGCTCGGGGTCATTCAGATTTTTATATTTATACTTACAGCTCATTAAAATAAATATTAACATATCGAGCACCATTAGTCCAGCAAATAGCAAATATTCATAGGCCTAAAAAAAATTAAGATATAAACAAATACACAACAATACACTTGGTATATTATATTAATAGCACAATTTCAACGAATAAACATGAGGTGCTAACTGCTAAGGGCCAGTTGTACCGTCTACGATTAAACTATGATTAAGCTTAATCAGCTGATAACAGATATTTAAACGGGCAAATTCGGCCGATTAAACTCTGATTAACCATAATCATAGACTGTACAACTGGCCCTTAGTCTCCCTATTTTTCCAGTTAGTCTAATGATCACGAATCAAAGAATGAATAAATTCACCCCTCCTCCTCCCCCCCACACATCACCAACCCAATAACCATAAAATTCATATTAGCTTATTTATATAAGATAATAAGAAACCTAGCATAAGTTATGAGAGAGCTGATTTTAAATTCAGAGGTTCTAAAATCTAAACACACCAAAGTGCCCGCTCCCATATTGAGCATATTATGTACATTACGTATACAATTATAGTGATTTTTACGTACTTGATTTTCGAAATACCGTACTTCAGACACGATCACTACCATTAGATTTCCAAACGCTACAGTCAACAAATTAACTGCTGCCAATAAGGATTTCATGCTTGTAGGTGCCTTCAAAACAATAATACTATGTATTATTATGTGCTTTAAATTATAGTATAAAAGTCTTAAAAATTCAACTTACTTGAGTAAATGCGAATTCTAATGACGTGATCGAGAACATAATCTCTGCAGCGGTCATTACAATAATTTGAGGTAATTGCCATGCTATATGAATAAAATTACCTCTCTCTAAGACTACCAATTTTGAATCCTATAAGTTATGCATTTAAAATGATTAAAATTCAGTACTAAAAATGATAAAACCAACAAATACTTACTGTGTGTCCTGAATTACGTTGTAATACAAGTGTGTTTACACTAGCCGGTAACAAATTTAAATCTGAGATAAATTCTTTGTCTAAAAAGGCTTTATATCTGAAAAGTTGAGGAATCAGATGCTTAATGAATGTTTATATCAACTATCGAAATAGCTATAACAGAGTTTTTAATTTAAATAAACATACTTCACACGTAATCGTGTTTTTTATAATCGCCTATCAATAAACTAACCTATTTATTTTAACTATAGTAGTTCTAAGTACCTACATAATACTTGTTACTTTCATTGAATGTATTATTTTTTATGTATATAAAGTTGAAGTACCTACCTACAATATAAATACATATTACATACAGATTTTTTTCAGTTTACCGTTTTTATCTCTATATAATTCAACATAATTAATATTATTAATATTTCCGGCAATTAGGTACCTATATTTATTTTAAAAAAAGAACAGTAAACACATAATTCAAAGCTGATGGCCCTTGTACCCGAAGCGAGTAGTATAATAAATAATAATATAACTTAAATAAAATTAAATATAGTACCTATATACAACTATACAAGGTGATCCATTCAAGCGTCACACTCATTATAATTTTTTTTTAAATTTGAAATAAAAGCTTCCACAGTTAAAATATAATAATACATAATTTGCAAAACATAATATTTTTTTAAATTTCTTATCGTTGTCATTCTTTAAAGTTTAAATGTTTACTTTTTAGTAATTTTGAATGACTACATATTTTTAAGTTTCATATTCTGGAGCAGAATATTTTGAGGCATGCAACTATACCAATCATCTAAACTTTAAACTTTAAATACTTGTATAAGTTAGAAGTATTGTAAGTATAACTAATTAAATACTTAAATTAAATTTGTATGTATCAAAGTACTCAGAAAAATACTCTACTTAGGAATATGAAATAAAAAATGTGAAGTTATTCAAAAAGTAAGCAACTTAAAAAATTATACCTACCTGATAAGAAATTGAAAAATCAATTTTTTTTCCATAAATCTTAATACTTTTCGAAATAATGAGTGAAGGAATTTAAATGGATCACTCTATATATATTATATAAATATATAATAACAATATAATATATAAATATGCATATTGTATACCTATAATATAAATATTAGATGCTAAACAAATTTAATATAGTCAAAATCTATAGTAATTTAATGACAATTTACATGTCTTAATAACATTTTTACACAAATCTAAATTATATTTTTTTTATATTTGTATAATTGATAAATGTTATTTTATTCAACTACCTACCTAATTAAACAATAACTCTAAAAAGTCCAATATCATATTATTAAGTTATAAATTAGTATTAAAATATGATGGTTAAGTTTCTCAAATTAAAAAATACAATATATAATTATAATATATATTATATCATAATGTTTATCTCACCACTAAGAAAATTATTGATAAGAATATTCGAAATTTTTAATATGCAAAACAATAATATTTATAACTTACTTTCCAATAGGAACAGTGTTTGTTGTTAAGGATTTTAAATTAATTTCAGTTACAGTGTTGTTGTTATCCGTTTCTTTTAGTGTCAAAACTTTATTAGATAAATCATCACTGTTTAAAATTCTATAAAAACAATATGGATTCAAATAACATACGATTATAGGTATAACTAATCATAACTTAAATTAAATGTATTTACCTTAAAACTGGACTGCCGTTCTTAGGTTTAGCTAAGTCATCAACATAACCAATTCTTTTTAATTCAAGTTTGTCATTTAAGCGAGTTAAAAAATATGACGTTGCCTATAATTTTTAATAATAATTGAATTTTCGTTACATATCTAAAGATCTATGAGTACTGTATAGTTATTAATATAATTATTTCAAACCAACCTTTCCTTCTACAATGGAAACACTACTCGTCAAATTTAATGTTGACAAATTCGGAGAACACGAAGGATCAGCGATAAAAACAATGGGAAACGAAGTTTCGTTAGAAGTTGGCGTATATCTTATCTCTAATGTTTCAAGAGAACTTAATTTGTAGACGGGTAAGTTTGTTGAATTTAAAGTAATGTTACAATCAAATCCGTTAAAAACTCTTAATTGACCTTCACCATCTGATAGTTGGATCGATCCACCCTAAAATAATAAATCACGTTTAATTTATTAGTAATTTATATGATATTTACAAAGCGGAGTATCATAAATCATAAATGACATATTGTAATATACGGAGTATATATACTAGTATGTATAACTGAAACTCAAAATTAATAATATGAATATCAGAAAACGGAATCTGAAAATAAAATGTCCATTATAGTACTATAGTCCATACATGATTCATTTAACAATAAATATATTCATTAATTTTTACACTGCACATTACTGTTCTTAAAACACAATATTTTTGAAGTTTTATACTTTTTCAATAACAATATTTTTTTTTTTCATATTCTTTAATTTTTTTAAATTAAAATTATATGTATTATTTAAAATACGTATTCGAAAAAAATATTCTTATGAAATGAAAAAAATGTATTTAAAAAATGTTAGTAAATACTTTTCGAGTCAATATTTTTCCAATATATTTACTTTATAATGTAGGTATCGAAATTCTCGGGAAAAAATGTCGAGATAACATTAATGAATGTTAACTTATAAAAGAATCAACCATTACGAAAATTAACTTATTATACACGAATATTATTTAATGTTCATTAAAAATAATCTCTTATAAAATAATTAAAATATAAAGACTGAATATAAAAAACTCCGGCTATACAGAGACTAGACGGCAGGCACTAGTCTCACTTTGCTGATTGCTCATTTCAGCGCCAGACAGTGGTGTGTACGTATTGTGAATAAATTGTGATATTAGACGTGAAACTATGAAATCATTCGATACAAAGATTCTGAGTTTAGTATAGTGTTTATAAGGTTATTTAAATATTATATACATCTTAATGTGCTTAAAAAATTATAGGTACTTGTAATTTAAAAAATTTAACTTACTATTACTATTTTAAGATTTTAATTTATATTAAGAAGAAGTCAATTCTTTAAAAGTTTAAAATGTATATAAATTGGTATCATCCCATTTCGCCGAATCCTATTTCGCCGAATCCTACTTTACCGACAAAAAAAAACAGTTGTATACGGATTAATATAAAATCCCATTTGGCCGAATGCTATTTTTTCGAATCCCATTTTGCCGAAAAATTTAAAATAAAATTAAAATAAAATTGTATTTGTTAGGTCATAAAGACTAAAAAATTAATACAAGGTTCCTAATATATTGTGACAAAAAGTGGTTAAATAAGTTTTTAAATAAGAATAAGAAAATAAGAATTAAAAAACCAGCAGCAAAATTTTGAACTTGATATTATTACTCAAAAAAAATGTAACCAAGCTCCGAAAATGAGGAAAAAGTACAAAACTTTAGAAGACCGATTAAAAACGGGAAAAGAGCGGTAAATACTAAATAATTAACTATATAATTATTATAATATTATATTAATACCTCAAATGTATGTTTAATTCAGATTTGGAAATGGACAAATATCTATTATGGAATATCTAGATGCGATTATTTACCACTTCCATCTCGAATAAAATTATAAATATAAATATAATTTTTTTTATACATTTTTGACAATTAATGTTTTTATATATTTTTACTAAATATTAATTATTTTTACTAATTTCTACTATACATTTTTGACAATTAATGTTTTTATATATTTTTACTATAACGTAATTATTATTTCATTTATTTTTATTATATCACGATTTTATTTGACTATACATTTTTGACAAATGTTTTTATATATTTTTACTAAATATTAATTATTTTTACTATAATGTAATTATTTCATTTATTTTTATTATTTCACCATTTTATTTGACTATATATTTTAAAATAATATTATAACGAAACAAAATTCTATTTTACTATGCTTCGGCGAGATGGGTTTCGGCGAGATGGGTTTCGGCGAGATAGGTTTCGGCAAGATGGGTTTTCGGCGAGACGGGATTCGGCGAAATGGGTTTCGGCGAAATGGGCCCAAATCATATAAATTATGCCATTTGAACTTTTGACATAAGTCCATGTACATTGTACTGTCTTGTTCTTGTATAGGAAATCGTTCTCGATCTGATAAAATTGTACGTACCCTCAATACCTACCCAATAGGCAATACATATCTAGTCTCTATAGCTATTATATTATGTTGGCAAGTGCCTATACCCATACAGTATACGCTAAGGTGATGCTTATATAGGCAAAAAAAATTTAAGATATCAATTGCCCCGTTCTGGATATAAGTCTTGGAATAGCAAGAAGTTGGTCAACACATTTACCAGATACTAAAATTGGAAGACGGTCTACGGTTTCATATCAAAATTATATCCTCAATAATTTTTCCATCCCAGTGAATAGTAAGTGGAACTTCTAATATAAAAACATTTTTCACAGATTCAGCTATCTTTTGTCTATACTGTATACGTTGACGATGAATAGATGAAGTGTTAACATTGTATTCTAAAGGATCATTACCAAGTCGCTTAATAGTAATTGTCAGTACTACTGCAGCTTTTCAATCACTTAATTTTGTTAATTAATTAATTTAATTTAATCTTTATGGGTCTAAAGAAATAATCGATTATACCTATTTTTGGTGTAATTGTAGCATTATTTTATCTGTTGGTAGCGACCATTAAAACTTAATCATTACACCTGAAACTTTTCCTACAGCTCATTAATATCATGTAGAACAAATTGACAAGGTTCCCCAATAATATTTTAAAAGTTGAATTTTAAGCACCACCCTAGTATACGCTATACTATACTTAATCCAAAATTTAATTGTTCAGCTAATTATTATTTACTTAAGGTATCACACTATAACGTAATACATATATGTACTTACAATAATTTTGTTCTGTACAACAGCTGATAGTACAAATGCCAGAGCGGCAAGAAAACCACCTAATGAGATTTTTTGTAATGGTTTTTTAATTCCGATCTTGGCTATTAGAGGATAAACAACGGTTTCGAAAACAGGAATAAATAATAAAACGAGAAGTGGATTCATCACTTGCATTTGATCAGGCTTCATTGTCCAGTTGAGAAAATTAATCCTACCATTCATCAAAGTAGCTTGTAATGTCCATCGAGAACCCTAGAAGGTTTTTCACAAAATACAATATTACTGCAGTGTATGATTTATACTATAGCTAAAATAAACATAAATGATATAAGTAAGAGGTATTCTATAAAATGTTGTTATTCTTTCAAAAATAATATTAAAATACCTAAAATTATTATAGATACTATTAGTATAGTTGAAAAATTTAAATAAAAAAACTAATTTCAAAAATAGATAAGGTTAACTAGGTACCTTCCATTATTATTTAATTGATTTATTTTAATAATATAAATGATTAGTCATTTTTCTGATAAAAATAAAATTATAATAATAATGATATCGATTAGTAATTCTTACTTGTTGATCAAATAAAGCCCAGAAGAATGGTAACGGAATAAATAAATACATTACATCTAAAGCACTGCGTATATCTGAAATTTCTTTTTCTGAAAACTTGTCGTCTGCATAATTCAACCAATGACTTTTTTTGGTATTCGATGAAACATATGATAGTCTTCTTTTTATTGCATGCTATACATAGTAAAATTATAAAATGTATTAAATATATTATATTGTATGTTATCAATGCTAGTAGTAAAATTATTAAGTCTGTATTAATATTTGTCTAGAATAAATATCGTGTTAATAGTACTCAGTAACGATTATACATCGATACGATTAAATCATTTGTATAAACAATTATGACGTTGGTATTTCCGATTATTAGTATTTAAATCTGTTTTAGTATTAATTACATTTAGAATCTGTAAAAATATAAACTTACATAAATACACGAAAAAGATGTTACAATGACGTTCGATTCTGGTTTTTTTATCTTATATAATCGTTTACCACATACGAAAATAACTAGTTTGAAATAAAAAAATATACAAGATATTAATGAAAAGGTAACACAATTATTGTATGAATGTATAATACTAATATAGGCTTAAATTATCATGATAAGCTCCACGACCGGAAAAATACAGAGTAGACAAAATGTTGCGTTGTCAGTGCCAAAGATTTGATTTTTTTTTTATAAATATATTTGTAAAAAAAATTGGCCAAATCAGTCCAGCCCTTTTTAAGTGATTTCAAGTGTTTCTCCTGAATTGAGACTCTCCTCTTCTCTCAGGGGCTTACTCGAATATAATTTATATGTAATAATTAAATGTTACTTACAAATTGCTATTAACATTAGCACAGCAGGTACACCGAAAGCTAAGGGGAAACATGAAGTTCGGCCGAAACATTGCACGTCTTTTCTTAGCTCCGGTGTTATTGATGTTGATATAAGAGATCCTGCATTGATAGAAAAGTAAAATATGGAAAAGAACTTTTGTAGATAAACTTCTTGTGCAGGAAGGTCGAATTGATCACCACCAAATGATGAAACGCATGGTTTTATTCCACCTGTTCCAATTGCAATTAAAACTAATCCCAGCAGTGCTAAGTATCTATGAAATAAAACGATATTATTTTAAAATAACTAATAAAATATGTTAATATTATATTATAAATTAAAACAATTCGTACATAAAACATTAGAAAAATGTCAATAAAAAAATATTATAATATAATATGTGACATGTACCTATAGATGTATAAAACATTATTTTTAAGTCTCCTTAAAAATGTATGTCAAATATACGGATATGCATTACTATTTACTAGTAATATAATTAAAAATCCAAATATAATATGAAGATATCTACCTACTTGCCACTAATGCCACTTATACCAACAGCTGGTATGTAATATTCCGTATTCATTAGTTGAATCTACTAAGTACCTACTCTGTACTAGGTATAATAAATAACCTATTACATAACCCGCAAAATAATTGTTTTTCGTGAATTGCCATTATATTCAGATACTTATCACGCATCATAAAAATTGGTAAACTCCTAAACTATAATATTATATAGTATAATATAATATTATATAATATATTGACAAATTGTTAAAACAGAAGTGATATAAATATAATTGTATATCCATCTAAATATCCACTTAATGATAATCTTTATGGTGGTTTAAATAATTATAGAAACACAAGATATTGAAGTTGAACTAAAGTAATTAAAGTTTATTTTTTAATCACCATTTTGTAGACTATAACAATTCATACATATTTTGAGACTTTGAGAGCTGACATATTTAAAAATCATTATTCATTATGAATTTATGATATAGATTTGGGCTACTATTAAAAGTCAATAATAAATTGTATGTTTTTATCATTGAGACTTATTAATACTTTAATTGCCTGTAATTAAAAATAATATTTTTGAATATTAGTAAGTACCTATATTTAGTCAAACAAGTTATTGTAATGACTGTAAAAAAAAATTGATTTTACAACAGAAATATTATTATTTATTACCTTTGGTTGCTTAAGCTAAGCGAAACTGCCAAAGATGACCCAGTTATGACTAAATTTCCAACTGCGTAAATTAGTGAAAGATATACTATAGTTCTGAAAAAAAGAATACGTTTATGAAATATACATTTAACACATAATACCTATATTGAAAAAAAAATGATAGCATTTTTTCTTATTTTTATTAAAAGAAATTATGAAGATATAATTAATATTCATTATATGAATTAAAGAAGACGCTACCTACCCATACATTTGTTGTTTCCGACATACACGCAGGACATAACAAATTGTCGTTCACTAGTTTCAATAGTGTGCTGTTAGTTTTGATACTAGAGTGAATTAACCTATTATAAAACTTTTAGGTAAGAACATTATCTGTGCTTAGGAGTTGCCGATTTTTCGAAATGTTCATTTTCAAGCAAGATATAGGTATGTGAAATATCAAAAATTAAGAATTCTCATATCTCGCTAGAAAATTAAAATATCGAAAAAAATCCAACGCTTAAGCACAGATAATGTTATTACCTATCTAAGAAATTGATAATATGTCAAATCACTGTAATATCAAAACTAACAGCACACTATTGAAACTAGTGAACGAAAATTTGCTATGTCATACGGAGATAACATGCATAGGTAGCATCCTCTTAACAATCTATATACAATGTATATAATAAGCTAAAAATATAGTAGTAAGTACATATATAGGAATATATAGGATACAATACGTAAGGTCGTGAATGTGAAGCTGTATATTAACTATAGTCTATAACGTATATTTACGTAAAATAAAAAAAGGAAAATCGACTCGGGATGTCGTGTTTTTAAAATTCAGTGGGATTTTTTATGGCCCGCGGTAAAAAAACTTTATTTTTATGGCCCGAAGTAAAAAAAGTTTGACCACCACTGGTCTATAATTATTCCATGATGTCTAACACAGGTTTTTTTTCTGGTAGTTTTACCTTTTACTTGTACAATATATGAGCCCATTTAAGTTCAAGACGTTGAGAAGGAATATGTTTAGGTATATTGAGGGAATGTAAAAGCTGATGGGTTGGAAATTGGAATATTTTAATATGAAATATTCATAGTATTAGCAGGAAGCAAGTAATGGAAATAGTTAGGTAATTGGGTTCTAAGGTCGTAATAGTTTAAACTGTAAAATGTCAATATTGAGATTGATAATGTATATCGCAGAGATATTGCTTTGAGATAAAATCTGATGGATTAAAAAGGAATATCGGAAGTGAGTTTGTGTTGGAAACTTGTGCTGAGTTTTATAGTTGGATAATGAATATTTTAAAATTACACAATTTAAAAAAAATGTATTTAAAATTTTAAAAGTTAAAAATATAAATCAATTAAAATTTGAAGAAACCAAAAAATTTCATACAAGAATTAACCAAAGTTATAAATTATTATTATTGATATACATAGTTTCATATTAGAACAATAGAAAGAAAAAAAATACGTACAACATCCGAACTCTATACCAATTATGACTTTTTGAATCTATCATTCATAACTACCTTTTAATGTACTATACTTACTTGAATTTTCCTAAGAAAGAATCGGATAAAATAGCTCCAAATAGTGGTGAAAAATACGCCATAAAGACAGCCATGTGATAAATAATAGTGGATTCGTCTTCATCGTATTGCAATATCGATGTAAGATATAATACTAAAACAGCTAATATACGAGACAATACATTCATAAATGAGAAAATCAAATTAACTATTATTTTATGCTATTAAATGAAAATATATGTACTTCGAAGTCCATAGTAGGAAAATCGTTCACAAAACTCTGTGCAGATGATAAACCACACTGACTTTGGGTATGCCTGTAGAAATATCAATCAAATATAAATTAACCACAAATATAATATTTTTAATAAAACACAATAAACATTTATGAAAAATAATTGCGATATCTTATTTGAGTTAATTGTTATTTTTTTTTATATATTATATTATTATGTTTAAATATTTTCTCATAACGATTTTTGTTCTGCTTATATATAATTTTAGTTTTTGAATGAAGAGGTCACCCCAGTGCCACACCCGTAAATTGTTGCGGTCAACAGTTCCAATTTTGTGTAGTATTTGGTGTCCTCGTAAGTATCACAGCCGTATATATTATTATTTATGAATATTAAATACAATGTAAAAAGAAAAAAGGCACTAAAATAACTAATAATTGGAACCAGTAGGTACTTATCTACTTAAATTATTAATATACTGTTTACTGCAGGTTGTTTACTTAATAAACAATACTCATCATATACGTCTTATAAATACTAAGAGAAGTGTTAATATTAACTACATGTTTACATGACACAATATTTAAATTTTGTTTCATAAGAAAATTAAATATAAGAAAAACTAAACAAACGATTAAACTCTTAATATATTTTTAAAAGTCTCCTATATAATTTAATTATTAAAAATGTGTGCTAGTTGCCACTGTGCTGTATATATGTGTCCATAGGGGTCACTGTAATGGATTAATTGTTAAATTTGAAAACGAAAAACGATAACGAAGACGGTAAGTATATTTTATGATATTATTTCTATTAAAGTAATTTATTTTACTATTAGACATTAGTAATACAGTAGGTTGCCAAAAGAATTGCATTTTAAAATGTCATAGATTGTATACCTACTAATAGGTGTCAAGTATCCACGAATAATAATTGTAAATTATAACAAAATAACTACAATCGTTAATCTTTGTTAATCTAATTTCATCCAAATTTGAACTTAAAATATCTATAAAAAAAACTGTGCGGATTTATAATTTAGATTATTCGGTTACAGTATGAACTATTTATGAGAAACCTTGTTTTAAATTGTCAATCCTTTATTTAAGTTTATATTGTGTACAGAGATAATAACGGTATACCGTTATTACTTATTAGTTAATGCTTATTAGTGTATAGTTACGCTTTAATATTAGTCTACGCTAAACACAAATCTACTTCCAGATTCTGAATTTTAATGCTGATGTATTGATTATGGACAAATACCTTTTAGATTCTGAGTTAAACAAAAGTTTCAATTAATTAGTTTTACAATAATCAATAATGGTTTTTTATGTGATCACTATAGGTACATACTCACTTACTTGTACTTGTACTTGTACACTTCGTAGTAAAAGATAAGACTGGTCACCATTTTTATGCAAGCGAAATATTACGATTACCTAAGATACATACCTACTTGATACCGGTAAAATACGATTGAGAACGTTACGGTTGAGAACGTTATTTTTGCTAACACGATTGAGAACGCTTGATATTTTTATTTTTTTTCCAACGTTGCCAAATGTAATCGAAAGATAATTTGAGCACGATAATCGGCTATCGAACGATAAAGAACGTTTGCCTTTTTGGCTGAACGATTGATCCGGTTGATAGGTATTTAATATTTATCGGACGTTTATCGGATGTTATTTATAACTTAGATACCAGATATACGAGAGAATGACTTAATAGGCGTTGTAGTCGTCGCACAAACGTCAACGAAGTATTCGTCAGTTTATAAAATAGCAACGATAGAACAGGGTAAAAAAAAAGAAATGCCAATAAAACAAAAGAAAAAATTAATTAATATTCATAATAAATATATGTGGTATGTAGCAAATAAATGTTCTAGTAATTTATTAAAATATTTAGAGTATGTTGGATTACGCTATCCCGCTATAACTAATTTATAGGTAACTCATTTGTCATTACTTGTTACTTATTTATTACATTTTTTTAATTTTTTTTTTACATATTTATTACATATTTTAATAATTCTAAATTTTTTTTTAATTTTTTAAACATATTTATATTACATATGACTTTTTTCAAGAATATTTGTTAAATGATAAATAATGAATGATATGGCAACGTTGCACGTAAATTCGTTCTCAATCGTATTCTTTTTTGGGTTTTTTTGGGGTCAGTGGTAAGTTCTTTGTTATTTTTAAGTGTTCTCAATCGTTCGGCCAAAAAGGTGTAACGTTCTCAATCGTTCGATAGCCCTTGATACTTATTAGTTATTAATAATATCTATTTTTAATAATTATTTAATAATATCTATAATAAATTAAAATAAGTATGTATCATCATTCTGCATTCATCAATTCGTAAGCAGAAAAGTATATTTCTTAGGTATTTCCTTTTTCTTTTTTATAAAAATAATATTGAAATAAATTACTTATAGAATTAACTTTTTTAATTGGCTTTAATCTATTTTATTTAAAAAACCGATAATATTATACATTTAGAATTATTTACAACTGATTATAAATTAATATAATATATAAATAAAATTAATTCATCCGTGGACGATGGGAAGGAGTATAAAGGGACCCGGTCAAGGTTTTTCCAATTTTCCGCAATTATTTTTCAAATATTATATTTTAGTTGCCACCTTAATTTGTTATAATACTTTTCCACTAATCAACTATTTAGGGGGGTTGATAGGGTGTATTATATTGAAAAAAATAACATCACGGGAATGATTTTCAGGCCTTGTAGAAAATGTTGGATTTTGATAACTATTTTTTATCTGAAAGAAGAAGACTTCCTACAAGCCTCCTTCCTATCGAACTCTGATTTTTTTATTTTATTTCAAATAATGGTATAATATAGTTTATAAAAAAATGCTTAAAATTAGATTATTTTTGAAGACATATTAGGTATAAAGTTTGTGATTAAAATATTGAAAAACAGAGTTCGATGCGACTTGCGTAAAATATTACCATCTATTAGTTAAAAAAAAATTTATCAAATTTGGTTGATTCTACAGAACAAGATCATAAGGTATTCCAGTAGAGCGCGTATTATTGTGTACAAAATTACATTGGCACCGGGCGCCATAATAAACACGGTATTTCAAGGTTTTGCATAGCAATCCTACTCACAATTTATAATAATTTACGTTACTGTGTCATGTAAACAGTAAACCGGTTTACTAATCGCATGGATAATCTTCACGGTGAGTTTTGACCCATTCGCGAAAAAGAACACTTTCATTCGTGGATGAACTTGCTAATATTGTAAATATTGAATAATGATATTATGTTGTTATTAGTTATTACCTAATGGCTAATATTATGGTTATTTAATTTGAAATTTGAAATTTGAAGATATAATTTTCGGAGGGATGCCCATGCCATACAATTTTGACTGTACTTTATTTAGTTCTTAGTTATTTTTTTTTTTGTTTATATAGTTGACCGTCAACATAATATTTTCTGATTTATTATTTGTTTGGAAATTATCCCCATATTGATGATTATAATAATAAATTATAACTTATAAGTATTAAATAACAACAAATGGGCAGTGGCTAATATTATGTCCATAAATTTGGAAGGTGTTGGCAGTTGGCACTGATTCAGTTGACACCCGCCAAATAAGAGTACCCCTCAACAGGCATAGTTTACGCCTACACCATCATCCCCCATATTATGAATAATAAACATTGTACAAGGTAGTTGCATTAACTAATGAAATAATATTACTTTTACTCCAGACTTATTATTTAACATTTATAAACAAAAATAAATGTATTACTATTTAGTACCTGTATATTATACAGAATTTTTTTCTTCAGAAAGTGTTGTAATATAATGAATAATAATGATATTGTTAGTGTATGTTTATATTAATAAATACAACATTGACATCATTATTATATATTGACACACTTTATAGCTATTATAGAGCATTTTCGTAGTCATTTAAGCTAAATATATTGTAAAGGAGAGGCACTTACTGATAAATGTATGTGATGGTTACTACAAACCTATTATAGGGATATCGATTACTTAATATTCCATAATTTAAACAATAAAAATGATTAAATTAGTTACCGTTTAATAATTTAACTTGTAATATATTATAGTAATTATTAGGTTTCGAGTGTACCTCCTCGTTTAGTATAGGGAATATATTGGTAACTGCAGTTATCTAATGACTTGTAATTAATAATTAGGTATACCGTATACAAGTTAATACAGATTATGTACTTTACAGTAAATTGTCGTAAATTAGATATAAGAATACTGAATAAGAATAAATCGAAATATTTTGAAAATGTCATTGATTAGGATAGTGGTATAGAATAAATATACCTTCATGGTTAAAAGTCAATTTCTTCAGCATCTGAACTTCGAATATTCATAAAGAAGAGTGCCTATAGTCTATACTTATATAATTATATGTACATATTTTTATATTTTTTAAATTCTGAAAGTACAATAAACCTTGTATTAAATTGTCAAGCCGTAGATATTAAAATTTTGCATTTTTAATTACAAAATAATTTAAAAAGCTGGTCAAAAAATCGTAACTGTGGTTTTGATATTTTTTAAGTAAAAGTATTTAAAGAATATTTTCTTATAAAAACAACTTTAATGGAGTAAAATATTGTTACCAATATAAATCGAAAAAAAAAACTAACTAAAATTTGAATAATTTAGAAAATAAATCCTTGATAAAATGTTTTGTTTAAACAGTAATTTCTTTTTAAATTTAAAGAAAAAAAAATCAATTTTTTAGAAAACGTGTTAGGTACGTAAATATTTCTGATTTTCCGTTGTTTTTTGTAAGCTTTACCAAAATATTAAGAAAATTGCCTACTACAGAAATTTACTGGATTGTGACCCCAAAAAAGAGCAACTATGCTAAGGCTTAAGAGAATTGAGAAACCACCCTTAAAAGTTGAAATTGAAATTCTCCTTCAAAACTTGATGCAAACATGCAAAAAAAAAAAAACAACACATTAGGTGTTTCTAGCTGTATTTTCCTCCCCAGCTCAGAATCAAAAATTTAAAAATTAATGCCACTGCCTTTACTGTTCATAATAGAATATTTTTTATGTACGTAAATTATAATTTATAATAGGTTATACCAATTGCGGTTATAACAATAATTGTTATTATTAAGAAACTCAATACCTAATAAAAATTAATACTAATGATTACATAATTAAATATAATAATTATGATTAAAATGTTAACAATAAGTTTGAAATCACGTTAGTACGATTTTATTTTTGTAAACGGTGCATCTGAACATCAATAAATGTATTAAAATAAGTATGACACACAACAAAAAATTATAATTTTAAAACATAAAGATAACAATAATTAAAAATATGTAGGTACCTATTACCTATGGCATTAGATTCATACGACATCAATATACAAAATATGCAGACGTGAAAGTAGGTACCTGCATGGCTACCATTAAATTTAATTGACATATTTCTGTTGACTCTTGACTGTTCCACTTCAAATAGAATTTAGAAACGTACGCGCAAAGACGTAAAGCCGTAAAGTTGTAAAGAAACAAATTAAAATTATAATAATAATGATTGAATAGACATTATTATATATTATTATAAATTAATTCCACTTGATTCAACATAGAAAAAAATTAAACATATACCTGTATACTATTGTCTATTTTACTCAAAATAAAACTATGTATTATATAATACGCAATTAATGATTGAAGAACCATCATACCTAGTAGGTATAATCACTTTCTAACTCCTACATTCTATGTTTTAGACGTATAAATAAAGCCTATTCATCTTCGAATATTATTTTGTTTAGCTTAAATAATATTTTAGAATGGAATGTATTAGAAAAATTTATAAACTATCAAAAAAAACATATGATCAAAATTCTAATATCTTCATAAAACTATCTACATGCACACATTATAATAATCACATACAATGACGTGTGATACAGCTGAAAATGTTTTGACATTTTATTTTAAAAATTATTAGACTGTGTAATAGGTGACTGAGTTTTTTTAAAAATATTTTAATTCATACCTAATTTGTTGGTGTGATTTTTGTAAAAAAACTATGTGTAAAATTAAATTATTGATTTTTATATAGACATTTTATATTTTACTATTAACAGTTAAAATATTATGTAAGAGCTGGGGGTTATAGTTAAGTATGAATGATATTCGATATATTATTATGTGTGCGCAGTGAGCTGTATTTAATTCACTGTGTCCACTTGAATCCGGGCAGGCTACATTTTGCACGGAGACTCTCGTGGAATGTCAGAATATCAATATATGAAAAATTGGATTATTAAAGTGATTATTCTTGTACATATTGCCCAAAATATTCAGACATTGTGCACAGTGCCTGGGCATTGTAATACAATGCCCTGATTTCCTACTTTTAGCATTTACATTTTGTAATTTATAAAATAATTATTTTAAATTAACTAAAAACAATAAGTTATAAGATACCTATATTATAAGATTCAATACGTTAATACTGAATACAAACTGTAGTTACCATGCGTATAGATACCTACTAAACACTATAATTATAATTAACATTGTATTAACAAATACTAAAACTAACGTGTAACAAAAATAAAACATTACACTTACCATTATTTATTATGTAGAAATATTGGTATGTTGTAATAATAAAGTTTTCGAATGGATTTGTTTCACCATTTAGTTACAACAAAATGTTATCAAAATTAACATTTTTTATAATTTATAAAGCATCTTTATTAAATAATTTTATTCGAGAAATAAGATGTAAAACCATTTTTCTATCAATAAAGTATAAAAAAACAAAAAAAAGTTTATTTAAATTATTTTACTTTATTGTGGACGAATTAATACAAGTAATTTTATGACGAGCGTGAACAGTTCACTCTCTCTGATCTACAAATCATAACTGATAACTATTTGCCAGAGCGTAGACCTACAACGCGTTATACGGTATAAGTGGTATAACATAATTGAACAACGTAAAAATACAGATGCGAATTATCGAAACATATTTTATATTAGTCAAGGCCAAAGCCTAGTTAAACACAAACTATAGTTATCCCCACTTTATAATTTATATACCTACCTAGCTATTACTTACATCCAAAAATAATATAATGAGTGGGATCAGTGGGAGAATGAATTTTATAAAAATTGGTAAACGAAATTGGTCTTTGATTTATTATTATTTTGTTTTTAGTTTAGGCCTGCTATAATGGTTTTAAACAGAGATTTTCAATATTTGAATTAATTATAGGTAAAACAAATACTTATTAAATTGTTTACTGTTAATTAGTTAGGTAATGATACTAAAATTAGTGATGAAAGTATTAAGAACCAAGGAAGTGTCAAGTGACTCTCATCGTTGAGTAGATCACTGTAATAATATGTATGTGTTACAATTGAATTCAATCATAATAAATAATCATTGCATACGAAATACGATTCTGAGTTTAATCTAGGCAAGCTGACGGCTGACGCCTTTATAATTCAAAGGATATTTTAATACTTATAATAATATTTATACTGTAGTAATTTATTTTTCTATTAGTAATAGCTGGGTAGGTATAGGATAGGGTGACCATACGTCCCGTATTATACGGGATTGTCCCGTTTTTCCACTTTGTGTCCCGTTGTCCCGACAAAAGTTATACGGGACGCATTTTGTCCCGTATTTTCAAGTAGGTCCCGTATTAATCCCGTTTTTCTCTTTATTGTTAATTTATAATTTTATAATTTTTTTTTTTTTTTTATTCTACGATATTTTTGTATCACAATATTCAATAGAACATCTAATCTATACTTATCAGCATTATTTTTAGATTCTTGTCTTAACAATAAATTATTATAATTGCTTCGGGTTGAAAATAGAGAACTAATAATGTCACATCATTATCGACAACGTTAAACCGACGATTATAAATACTAATGATATAACGATAACGTACAAAATGTTATTAATATTATTATATTGATGTGTGACGTCATCTACTAAATAAGTACCTACAATTCCATCCGCCACAAGTTTGTTGTCAAATATAATGTCTATTCTAAACTTCCTTACAACAAATATTTTATCGCTTTTAAATGATTTAAAAAACAATAATACCTATGTATAATGAAAACTCATTCAAAAAAAGTACTGATCTATTTTATAATACTTTTTTATCTTACGTAGAAACATGGGGTTGCCACTTTGACCAGTTGAAAATATTTCGCTGGGTCCAACTAATAAACTGTCCTACTTGGGAAAATGTTCAAAAATGTATTAAATTTCTTATGGAAAACAACCGAAATAATTCTAACATAAAATTAGATGAAGATAATTTATTTGATGAATTCAGTCATATAGAACAAATTTTTAAATCACGAATTCATGAATGGCAAAAAAAATCCGCTAAAGTAGAAGTTAAGTGGTGTGAAATATTTGAATACACTAGATAAAGCTCATAACATTGATACAACTAACATATCAAAAATAGTAGAATATTCTTTGGCAATTCCTGGTACAAATGCCGCAGTAGAACGGATTTTTTCAACCATTAATTTGTTGTGGACAGATGAAAAAAATCGATTTTTGGTTGAGACTATCAAATCAATTATAATCGTAAAAACACACTTTAAAAACTTATCTTGTAATGAGTTTTATAATATTCTGTTAAAAGAAACTAGGTTACTTGATGAAATCGGTTCAGCACAAAAGTATACAAAAACATCAAAAGAAGAAATTTACGTGCCATCGTCATCAAAATAATTTTTTTTTGGACTTTAGTGTACATATTATACTTATTAATATTTTATTTGTATTTAAAAACTATTATACAGCATACATTTAATTTGTTTTTTTTATATTAATATATTTAGTTAAAATTAGAATTTCCTTTTTTTTTTAGTTAAGTAACTAAAGTGTCCCGTATTTTTATTTTATTTTTATGGTCACCCTAGTATAGGATGAACTATTTTTCACTTTTCACCAACAACAAATCACATACATTATATGTTTAATAATTCTTATAATATTATTTTATATAATATAACTATAGCTATTATTAACATATTACATAATATAAGTCAATACAGTCGCCGCGCCGTACCGTATATAGAACGGTATGAATAAGTTAGTCGCATAAATATTAAATAACTTAACCCTTCACTGCATGATTTTTTATTAAGTAATAAAAAAAATGTTTTCTAATAGATTAAAACCAGTAGAATCCATTAAAATTATTAAAAAAATTCAGTTATAAAATGTAAGTAGGTACTCAATTTGACTCAATTTTTAAAAATGCATGTGTGCACTTCTATGCACTATCGACAAACAATAATAAAATACTAATACCTCATAAAAATAATAATAAGTAACTTACGGGCAATTCAAAATTTTCGTCATCACTTAGACCAATATCAGCAAGCTCATCGTCGCTTTCAATAGGTATACTTAAAATTCGTTGAATTTCTGATTCATTATTCACTAAATTATCACACATTTTGATTTTTTAAATAATAAATAATTCGAAAAAATACTATCATAAAAATATAAAAATCGACGGAGTCGTGAGTAGTAATAACACTAGTAACTGTTGGTACCAATATTGCATGGAAGTGCACCAATGCATTAGAACAAAATACGTAATTTTACAGTATTCAATATACAATTTATTATTATCTTGGTATTTGTATAATCATAAATAATAATAGACATGAAGTATGATGATATTTTTTTGGATTTCCCCATGACAAAATATATTATGTATATATAATATATATTTTGTCATGCCAGTGCCCTTGCATGCAGTATTGCAGTGAAGGGTTAAAATTAATTTCAACATTTTTTAAACGTTGATATTAATTAACGTTTTGTATTGTATGTTCTATAATTATCGGTGACTGGCGCAAGTGTAATATTCATTGTTGTTAGTTTCTACTTTTCAACTCAGTCGTCGAAAAAACAATCTGATAAGTGAATTGTTGTGATTTGTGGATATTAATTATCTAAATTATAACTTGTGCTTTTTTCCTTAATTCCCTTTTGTTATTATAGTATCTATCATCTATGCCTACGAACAAAGTAAAAACTAATCAGGGATCTCAATCGCACGGAGACTTGACAAATATATTTATGTACTTACATACAATTATTGTATTCTTCAATTTTAGATTAGGCAATTTTTTGTTTTTTTTTAAACCGTTTATTCAAATTTCCTGAGTATGCCTTTACCTAAGGCACTCGCACTTAGCAGATTTACAGCGAATACCAGAATACACTAACACAACAGTCATACAAGTGATGAGTACACCCAGTGGTGTTCGCTTAGGTCCCAGGGTATACTCCATAATAGGTACGCCGTTATAGTGTTATACCTACTCTCAATAGATTTTTAAAGTTCAAATTTTAATGTAGGTATATTCGAAACAAAATTGTTTTTGTATTAGGCGTTTCGTGCCTTTAATGAAAACCAATAAAAAATATATATTTGAGTAGGTAATATTTAATATAATATAATATTTTATTCATTTACTTTTTGGAATGAATTAAAATTTGTTTGCTATCATCACTGTTTAAGATTTAAATGTTTAAATGATGTTTAAATTATAAATTGTTATATATTTCTGAATGCTGAGTATTCGTATACCATCAAGGCCTCCACAAATTTGATGGGAACAATGAAACGCAATAACGCATCACTGGGTACTAGTGTTGTACGCTTGTGCAATATATTTGGTTCATGTATTTATATACATATATTGTAAAATATATGATGACTGATGAGTAAGCACATAGTTTTTTTGTAAGTAAAATGTACCTCTTTGTTAAATATATTATGTTCGAGTGTAGCTATTTTTTTGGTTATTTTTTTGTAAAAAGTGGAGTATACGAAATTAGGGGCGTCATATTTATATTTGCTCTGCTTTACATTGTCCCTAAAGGGGCCTCGCTATGACATTGATGTAAGGAGAATCATTTAGGCAATTTCTAATCTCGTCGTCGCTACCCGAGATCTATATGTTAGTCGTAAATTATTATTAGTGTGTGTTGTGTCCATGCGAGTCAATTGTAGTGTACGGAGGGCTCTCGCACGCACTCGCAAGCACATGTCAGTAAGTAATATCACTGATTAAATATGTATATTATGTATATTTAATCAATGGTAATATTGTGATCATGAAAAAATGTTTATTTTTCACTTAATCATACGATTCTAATTCCAAAAATACGTCGCAACAATTAACTTCGATTCGTATAATCGTTCTGCATCATTCTGACAAAATATTCTTTTTTCCACAATATGTAATTGATTGATTGATTGATTGATCGAGGCAGATTTTTAAAATTTGATTTGTTAATTAAATATTTAAATTGGAAATTCAGAATTTTTTTGAATTTTTATAGCAATTTAAATTACAAAAATTAAAAATGTGGATCGATGTCGATCGTTCCCTTGTATATGTTACGGACAATCCGAATATTTTTTCAGAATGAAAAACGTGATAATTGTCAACACGTATCGTTGGAATTAGAAACAGCAGTTTTTAGTGTAATTATTACATTATTAATATTTAATTACAAATATATTATTATACTTCTATCATAGGCGTGCGCAGACCTCTGA